TGACCCATTGTAACATTTTACACAGTTTCAACAGTAAGACTTAAATATAGGGGGAAAAAAAACAAAAAACTGTACTTAAATAATGACTCAATTAAAATGTTCAATTCATTACCAACTGCAAAGCCTTGACTCACTGTGAATCATATTCTGGAGTGGGATCTTTGTCCACCAGAAGGTTTGGACACTGGTGCACTTTTGTTGTATAGGACTCCCTTGAAAAAGAGGTTATTTTCAAGACCCACAGAATATTGTGTGCTATGACTATGAAAAATATGAAACCAGAGTCTCAAAGACTGGACTGTCTATTTTCAGCAGCAAAAATAATTGTTTTTAGCTTGTTTCATTCTGTAATCTCCAGTCGAAAAGAGGGTGTGACAAAAAGCACCAGTCTTGACAAAAAGCTGAGAAAATGAGGTGTTTGTGAAAACAGACGAACCTGCAGAAAAGTGACTGTAACATTAGTTTAAATTTAGCATCTCCTCAAACATGTCCAGTGTCTTACATGTTAGGAAACATCAACAACACGTTATGAGAAAGGGTTTTTGCAAAATAATATGTTTTATGGCACACACACCCACAATGTGTTGTTAGAATATTTCAAAGTGTACTCATCCAAAAAACGTAAAAATTTACATATTGAAAGTAGAGCCCATGACAAACTATGCCAGAAAGAATTGACAGTATTCATCAATTAGGTCGGTCTATATTTATGTCAATAAGAGTAAATCAAAGATAAGCAGAATTACAATGATAAACGCTATAAATTAAAATAAATTAAGGTGAACAGACAATACTTATACTATAAATGCAATAGAAGTCAAGTCTCGAGTCGAGTCCCAAATCCTATCGTTTGAGTTTGAGTCCTTTCAAGTATTTTTAACAGCAGAGAAATAATATTTAATCATCATGTATATCCTTTAAGATCTGTATTTATCAAACCTTTTTTTTGCAAGTACATTGTTCAAAAATGTAAAAACTCATTTGACTCAACCAGTCACCACTTTATACAAAAAATATTCTCACACTAAAAATGAAATAAAATAGAAATAAATTCAATTAAATAATCTACATGTAATACAATCATGCCCCTATTGGCATGTATAAACAGGTGTGTGACTGGCAGGACCAGGGGGTACGAGGCCCTGCCATTCATCTAGGGCCCTGCCCTGACACTTTATTCCCAAATCTAAGGAAAGTTTTCCCCGTTATAATATTTGACGTGAATTCAGCACCGCCTCGCGCTGTACGTGATGAAAACACACACAGTCTCTCACATGGCTCTTTCGTCCTGTGGCAAAATGGCATAGCAACTCAAAAGATTGAGCCAAAAGGAGTCCTTGTCTTCTGATAGTTAGATTATGGCAAAATGCGCCAAAATGACTGTGAGGCAGAGTCAATATTTGTTGTATTTTTTCCCCATCATATAACGTTTTTGCCATTGCCTCCACACACTCTGACCACAACTAGGCGTTTTATGCCCAAAATCCACTGCAGTACTAAAGCTGGGCATACGCTGTTTGCTAATGCTTTTAAAATAATGTTTTTGATGTGTACATTCGTACTAAACATTGGCGATAGCAGCGCTCACACACCCGTCTCGCTGCTCCTCCTCCTCTTCCTCTGCTCACACACCTCTGTCTCCTCCTCCTCCTCACACAGAGGACGTGAGTGTCCTCTGTACACTGGGCTCATTCCCGTTCTACGTCATGGTGCTACGTCCCTTAGGACTTTGCTAGTGGGATATCACTCGTGACCCCCAGGTCACACGCCAGAGAGATCAAAATAATTTGTTCCAATCCCCAGCCACCCTCCTCTATAAAGGCCCCTGCACAAGGCCGCACCCCCTCTTTCACTCTGGCGCCGATTGAGATCTACCACAGTACTCACTTCATTCCAGAGAAAAGATGTCTTCTGCTGCTCGTCCGAGTTCCCCTTCGCCCTCCGGCGTCGGACGTCGTCGTTGCTCCAGCGCACGGACCAGCACTCCAGCTGCTTCATGTGCCTGGGCCCGGGCCATGCGGCGTTGAGCGCCACCTGCACCTCGTGTCTTGCTCTCCCCAGGGAGGAGAGCGAACGTCTTTGGCTATGCTGGACAGATGTTACGCCAATGCGGCACAGGTCGTCGCTGTGGCGAATAACATGGCCTTCATCACGGGGGCCCTGGACACACAAGAACTCAGCAGATTCAGTCAAAACACAGACAAAAATCGAGCTGAGTCTCAATTTGAAGCTAATTTCACTTTTCTTACTCTATACTTTTATTCTAATGCTGATTGTTTACACTACACTTATTTCACTGTATTATTTTCACTTTTTAATCTTAGACTGTGTACTTTACTTTTACTATTCACTATAGTTTAAAACTATTCTAATCTATTTACAAATATGTTTGCATATTTGCTTCTATTGAGCCATATTCTTAAACATACATTTTAATCTAATAAATCTCTCTGTGGTATTACACTCTCATTATCAGTGGCTTATTATCAGTGGGATTTTGCTCCATGTCTATTCTCATTCTCAGGAATAAAACTGAACACAGTAAGGCAAATGGTCAACATTTACACTTCTATAGTGGTCAGTGATTTATTACTTTTTATTATCTAAAGATATTATTGTCAGGCATTTGGGATGGATGTACATCATTAATCAAATTAGCATTATCCTAATAGTAGCTAATTAGGTTTGGGGTTGGGGTCAGTTATTCTACAATGGTATTTGTGCTGGAAACTTCTCAATATCTAAATATCTACTATTGTGTTTTTGGGCTACACCCCAATACATCAAAATGCTTTTAAATGCTTTTGAATCTCTGTTGGTTGTAATCTATCTCATTAATCTAGGCATTAATCTAGGCTACACTCATATCAGCTTTTTGCATAGTCAACATTCACCAATGTTTGAACACAAGTGAATTTGGCAAGTATCTAATAAAACTGTACATAAACTGTAATTAACTTTATCTACTTCTGAAGTAAATGTTTGTGAAATGGTCCCTTTACCATTTGATATTAGCACTGGCTACAAATAATCTCTATTTTTGAAAGAATCTATGGTTGATGCATTTATCTAATTCTATATTTCCTCTATTTTTTAACTCCAAAGCTCGGCTGCAGCTTGAGCAAAGGCATATTCCTAGTTTGTGACTTCTGTCACTTTTAATGGCTGTAACATAACTCTGATTCTAATATTATAGCTGATCTATCAAAAGGATAACATTGTAGGGTACTATTTTAACTCTTATGTGGAAATGTGTTTATGAACAACAAAGGAAGTCAAATTCTACTCTTTTACTACTATTTAACATCTACTAAAACGCTACAATACTCATACTTTATCATTTTCAAAGTTTTTGTCTGTCAGATGTCTGAATACTTAACATGTATATTGCATTTGTCACAGTTGTGGTTCTGGTTGTAGCAAAAGCATCAGCAATAGACGTTTTTCATTGGCTGGTTCTTGTTCTGCAAATGTCTGTGTCCAATAGATCATCAGATGTCCAGAAGCTAGGGACAAACAAAAACAAAAGAAAGAATCATGAGTATCTCTCTCATTTAGCACTCATCTATGTATGATTTTAGAAATATAAACATCACTCCCCAGTTTTTCTCTCTCAGGTCCTCAGATCCTCAGGTCCTCAGGGTCCTCTGAGGGTGAGGTTAGGTCTCAGTCGTCATCAGGTCAGGTCATAGAGAGATGTCATCTTGGACATCAGTAGGGTCCAAGCCATGGTTTTGGTCCAGATGCACATCAGGATCTCCAGATACAGTCTTTTCACTTGAATCACATCAGGTAATTCGCGATGCACTTCTGGTCAATGGTGCAGTGTCTCAGTTCCTGTACACAGCTTGTTATGCAATAGTTACTCTCTATGGTTAGTCACTTTGATTCTACTTTAACACAATTTCTATTCATGCTGTTGCTAATGTCCCTTAGACAAAAGCAAGCGCAATGATTCAGTTTACTTCTCTAATTTGTGTTTTTATCAGATCTAATTCTAATCAATGTAATTACTTCAGTACAAAATCAACAAATCAAAAGTGTCAGGACAGAGATCAATTAAGTCCATGACAATATAGAATTCAAATGAACATTTCTGGTCTCAAAAAATACTGATTCAAATAAAGATTCAAGTGATAGACAATTCAAAATATGTGTTTACGTTGGAGTAAACTTTTAAAATGCTTTTTTCTCATGTTCTGCTTTTTCATGTATCTATATGTAAATGTGAATGTGTGTGTATGTGTGTATGTGTGTGTATGTGAATTTTGGGGTTGTGTCCAGACTCCTCGAACCACCTGCAGGTCTCAAAGGTCACACTGTGGTGATGTAAACCAACTGGACACACTCTCAACTCTCATTCAGGTCTCTCCCTGATGCTCCACCCATCACGTCTCCAGACACCTCTCTTTCATGGCCCCGGTCTCACTCCCACTCACTTCTGTAGTGGGGGGAGGGGCAAGGAGGTGGCATTTCCCTTTGCTCTTTGATCTGTGACCTGTGGCTGGGTGGGCTTTGGTCTCCAGTGTCCAGCAGTCCAGTGACCCTGTACAGTGTGTGCTCTTGGTTCTGGAAAACAACCTTATAGTCAAATTAAAAACAACAGAGATTGTGAATGAGCTTGTTTTTCCTCCCTAAAGTTCAAAACAATTTTGGAGCGCTCTGGGTTTTCCCACATGCGCTATGTAAATAAAGATTACTTATTATCTTACTAATGATGACATTTGAAGACCAGAAACTCTTTCTTAATAAAAAACAAGACTCAAATCTCTTGAACCTTCAACCTTTAAAATATGTATTATGTACTTTTGCACTGTGTGATTTATTATCTATGCATCCTTGGGTTTCTTGAAAGACGCCATGAAATGAAATTATGAAAAATCTCTATAAAAATTAACATTAATTTGTAAAAACATT